ATGAAATTATTGCGGAGAAAGCAGTATAGGTTTGGAATATTCGAATGCAGTCGTGGTACTACTTACCCTGTCCTTCGTCCTTGATTTTCTCAATAAGTTCAGCAATGGTTTCAGCCGGTCCTCCTTTTAAACCATAGCTCGTGAGCTTATCCACATTCAATCTAAGGAATGCTGAACCACGAACCCAGTTATCTTTAATTATTTTAATGTCTTCATCTCTGAGAAATAACTTTTTTTCTTCATTATAAGACTTCAGAAAAGCAATAACTATATCTGGGCTCCATTCACTAATTTCTTCGACTGACGGAAGAGAGGTATGATCAGACATGGTTTCTTATTTTTTTTGTGTAATAAAAGTTGTACAACTTGCGCAGAAAGCGAAAAAATTTATTTAGCAAGAAATAGTCGTACATTCACCTTTTTATAGTTTATACAAACAATCAGATTGTCGTACAACAGGTCATGTATTGTTACACAATACAACAATAAAATGCATTACCGATCTATTTTTCCGTATCGTAAATAAATAATAAATCAGGGTTATAATTCCTGCATGCAGATTTTTTATTCAAGTTTGTTGATTGTTATCCAAGCGTATGAAAAAACAAAAAATCTGAAGGTCGATGTCACAGTAAGTTGTCAGGAACTTGAAACTATTATGAAATAGCGAAGCTTTCACTTATCGCTTCTTTCCTTAAAAATTATCACCTATATATTCCCTCCGCTACTTTTTTGCATGTCTTACAATATAGATGTGAATGATGATTGCATTCGTCACAAACCTTACATCCTGCTTTCAACCTCTAAAGATATGCCACTTTTCGATGTAATTTTGACTTTTTTTATTTGTATATGCGGTATGCTATTCTGATCTTTCATTGTGATATATTAACAGAAAAAATACAACGTGGCTAAAATTTTTTATACAAACCTGCTATAGTGCCCCGTCTTACAAACAAGATTGTGATTATTTGGTAAGAGATTTTTAGTAAAGGCTATGTATCAAAATTTTAATTTATTTATCCAAAAATGGGCTATACTGACAATGTTTAAAAAAATAAAAAATTTATTATATAGGCATATAGATTGTGAACTGAGTTCACAACGTCACGTAATACTGACGCAGTAAATATTTATTTTGCAAATTTAACCAATATTTGGTTGATTTCATCCTGACTTAATTTTGATTTTGATGATACTGTAAGAGATTTAACTCTTTGAATCTTTTCAATGCCAATTTCACTAAACAGATTATAAATCTTCAAAGCCCATTCTTTTTTTTTTTGAAGTAAGTCATCATTAACAGAGTTTGAAGGTTGTGACCTAACTTCTTTATTACTAAGGTCTGAGCTGTTCGCTTAGAATTACTTTTTTTATAATAATCATACTTATTTTTAAGTGTTTTACTGATAAGATAATAGCAAGTTATAACATCTTGATTTGTAATTTCATTTTGGGTTTCTGCATTGGTTATATTATTATATAAATTGTCAAAATTAACAGCATTTTTTTTCTAAATATAGAGGTTTGCAGAGTTTTGGGTTTGGTAGATAATTCTTTTATAAAATCTTTTAATATATATGATTCTTTCTTAGCTTGCTTTTGTTTCTTACTTGATATTTTATTTGTTGGTTTACCAACACGCTTAGATAGTAAAATTATTTATAGTAGAGTCAGGTATGCCAGATTTGGAGTTTTCTTCTATGATTGTATTTAGATTCACTAAAGAATTTTTACCAAATATTAATGGATTTTGTGATCCTTCATTTATGTTTATACTTCTTTGTATTGGAGCTCACATTAGTAATAAATTTTTAATAATTTTGATTTTTGTATTACAATTATTGACAAGATATAAAAACATAGGTTCTTAAGACAAAAACAGTATATAGTATAGCTACATGTTAATACGGTAAATAACTTTTTAAGTATGTGTAAAAAAAATTTCTTCATTGCATATAAAACATAAATCTAGTTCAAGAACTTTAACACCACTTGCAATAGTTTCGGGAGAGCTGTTTTTAAAAATATTTAATGTGAGGGTTTTAAGGCAAGTAATATTCATATTTGCAAGATTTTGTTTACTAGTATATTTTAACCAAATAATATGTGTTTTATAATGTTAATAATGAAAAATTTACACATTTATCAGATTATATATTATTTTTTTATTGCCTAAAGTTATTTGATAGATAAAAGTAAATGGATATAATATCCAAATCAATATTATTATCTAAATTTTAATCAGTTAAATCTTTGCAATTTATAATTTATCTATTCTATTTTCCTTGTTTCAACAAACCTTTTAGGCCCCTCTTTCCTCTTTTATAACTAATGGTAGCTAGACTTAAATTAGTTTATAAACAGAAAATTAAGAGGTGTTTTGCTATACTTAGGTGGTTATA